CTGTCAGCGGCGGGAAAGCTGCACCGGAAAACGTGTAGTGTAATATAAGACTTGGAAACCCCTGCCGCTTTTCATTATCGATTAAAAAAATACATAAATATTAATAATAAATAATAAATAACATAAAAACGAGAAGGAATAAAATAAACTTGCGTGCAGGTATGTTACTAGAAACGTTTTGTTTGCGGACTTACGACTGTAAAAAACGTTACTAGAAACGTTTTGTTTTGCGGACTTACGACTGCAAAAAAACGTTATGTCAATAAATCTGTATTTATATCTATCGATCTATATTTTTGTCAAGAATATAATTATTAAATCTATCCACGACCCTGATTTTTTTTTATTATTTACCGTAAATATAGCCTAAATTCTGACAAGCGAGGCGTTTACAGCCCGCTGGAATCAGATTATAAGCCCTATCTCTACTTATCATCATATATATATTTTCTTTTATGGTCAATTCTTTACTCAATCACCTTTTTTTATTCCTTCTCAACTCGATTTATTAACAAGTCATTCTAGAATCTCCCAGACGCGGCTCAACCCAAAACGCATAATCCCCCAAACCGGACACACTTTGAGCGCCAAATCATGTGAAAGAAGTGGGTCAGCTGAGGATGGAAGGACATCTGGCGGTAAAGTTTCGCGTTAACTCTAGGAGGTAGAGGAGGCTGGGGAAGAGGAGGAAGAGGAGGAGGCGGAGGAGGCTACACGTACACGTACACGTACACGCACACACACGCGCGCGCGCGCGCGAGCGCTCCCCCCCTTACACACACGCGCGCACCCCCCCCCCCCTTTTACACAACACACACACCACACACACACACACACACACACACACACACACACACACACACACACACACACACACACACACACACACACACACACACACACACACACACACACACACACACACACACACACACACACACACACACACACACACACACACACACACACACACACACACACACACACACACACACACACACACACACACACACACACACACACACACACACACACACACACACACACACACACACACACACACACACACACACACACACACACACACACACACACACACACACACACACACACACACACACACACACACACACACACACACACACACACACACACACACACACACACACACACACACACACACACACACACACACACACACACACACACACACACACACACACACACACACACACACACACACACACACACACACACACACACACACACACACACACACACACACACACACACACACACACACACACACACACACACACACACACACACACACACACACACACACACACACACACACACACACACACACACACACACACACACACACACACACACACACACACACACACACACACACACACACACACACACACACACACACACACACACACACACACACACACACACACACACACACACACACACACACACACACACACACACACACACACACACACACACACACACACACACACACACACACACACACACACACACACACACACACACACACACACACACACACACACACACACACACACACACACACACACACACACACACACACACACACACACACACACACACACACACACACACACACACACACACACACACACACACACACACACACACACACACACACACACACACACACACACACACACACACACACACACACACACACACACACACACACACACACACACACACACACACACACACACACACACACACACACACACACACACACACACACACACACACACACACACACACACACACACACACACACACACACACACACACACACACACACACACACACACACACACACACACACACACACACACACACACACACACACACACACACACACACACACACACACACACACACACACACACACACACACACACACACACACACACACACACACACACACACACACACACACACACACACACACACACACACACACACACACACACACACACACACACACACACACACACACACACACACACACACACACACACACACACACACACACACACACACACACACACACACACACACACACACACACACACACACACACACACACACACACACACACACACACACACACACACACACACACACACACACACACACACACACACACACACACACACACACACACACACACACACACACACACACACACACACACACACACACACACACACACACACACACACACACACACACACACACACACACACACACACACACACACACACACACACACACACACACACACACACACACACACACACACACACACACACACACACACACACACACACACACACACACACACACACACACACACACACACACACACACACACACACACACACACACACACACACACACACACACACACACACACACACACACACACACACACACACACACACACACACACACACACACACACACACACACACACACACACACACACACACACACACACACACACACACACACACACACACACACACACACACACACACACACACACACACACACACACACACACACACACACACACACACACACACACACACACACACACACACACACACACACACACACACACACACACACACACACACACACACACACACACACACACACACACACACACACACACACACACACACACACACACACACACACACACACACACACACACACACACACACACACACACACACACACACACACACACACACACACACACACACACACACACACACACACACACACACACACACACACACACACACACACACACACACACACACACACACACACACACACACACACACACACACACACACACACACACACACACACACACACACACACACACACACACACACACACACACACACACACACACACACACACACACACACACACACACACACACACACACACACACACACACACACACACACACACACACACACACACACACACACACACACACACACACACACACACACACACACACACACACACACACACACACACACACACACACACACACACACACACACACACACACACACACACACACACACACACACACACACACACACACACACACACACACACACACACACACACACACACACACACACACACACACACACACACACACACACACACACACACACACACACACACACACACACACACACACACACACACACACACACACACACACACACACACACACACACACACACACACACACACACACACACACACACACACACACACACACACACACACACGATCATAGGACTGTTTATCTGGTTATTGAGGGAGAGATGGGGGAGGGGGGTGAGGGATGGGAAGGAGGCCAATGGAGGAAAGGAGAGAGGGAGGAAGACAAACAGATAGATAGAAGATAGATAGAAAGACAAAGAGAAAAAAAAAAGACTGATAGAGAAATAAGGAAAGAGACAGAGAGCAAAAAGAGAAAGAGCTAATCACAGAAAAAAAAATGGAGATAGAATAGCGAAGGGAAGGAAAGGGTGATGGTATGTGGGGGGGGGGAGGGGAGAGAGGAGGGGGAGGCGAGTGATCAAGACGCACACGTGTCTGGAGTGTATAATCGTATCGTAAACAGCGTAAATATGTCGGGAAGAATGCAATAAAACGCTATTCTTGTTCCTTTGATGGATCTCTCAGGTGGGTGGGTGGGGGGGTGGGGGGAGGTATATGAGGGGAGGCAGGAGGGTGGGGAAGGAGGAATGGTGCTGGGGAGGAGGAGGAAGGTGAGGAGAAGGGTGGGCTAGGTATATAAGGAGGGAGGGGGATGGTGAGGAGAGGGATGGGGAATGGGAAAGGCGAGGGAAGAGTATACAGAGAGAATGGGGAAGTCGAGGGAAGAAAATAAAAGGGGAATGGGGAACGCGAGGGAAGAGTATAGGGGAAGAGGAGAGTAGAGATATAAAAGGGAATAGGAGAGGAGAGGAGAGGAGAGGAGAGGAGGGGTGGGGAAGGGGAAGGGGGAGAAGGATGGAGATTGATGATGATAGCTGCTATACACCATCTGTTCAACGTGGAATGATTTATCAAAAGAGGGAGATTGATTTTAAGAGAATGCTAATGTATACTGTCGTTATCATCGTTATTATCATTGTTACTGGTGTTATGACGATCATTATCATTTGTACAATTACTGTTATTATAATTACTTTCATCATATCAACTGCTCTTTTTATAACCATAATCAGACCTTACTGCCATTATCATTATTCATAAACATTATCACATATAATGAAGAATTAAGGAGAAATTAGGTCGCCCCTCCCCCCATCGTCAAAATAGGCGACAGCAGCGGATGCACAAAGTCCTCAGAAGCCATTACAAATCCCATTAATGGAGGTCAAATAAGGCCATAATGGTTTAAACGCAGAAGGAAAATACTTTCCCAAAGCGGGCTTCATCAATCCGTTTTTCTATCGTTTATCTTATCGGGTAATATCATTCCTTATTGGGAGGCTGTGAGGAACGTACATTGTGGAGGGATTCATTGTATGCAAATGTGGGTGCGGGATGGGGAAGGTGGGGGGGGGGGGACACGCAGGTAATGGGGTGAGGGTAGGTTTATTAGGGCCAGGGATAGGGCCATGGGGAGGGGTGATGGTGGTAGGGAGTCAGTGAGGCTAGGGATTTTATGTTGAAGAAAACATTAATTTCGTCTTAATCATTTCACATCTTAACCAATCCATCCATTAAAAAAACAACCCCCAATCTTTCTCTTTAAATACATAAAAACAAAATAATCCCCTAAACCAGCAATACAATGTTACTCCCCCAAAGAAAAAGAAGAAAAAAAGAAGAAGTAGACCAAAAAAAAAGACTGTACTCACCGATTTTCTTGTTGATAGTGATGGCGGGGCCGAGCTGAGACTCCGAGAGGACGGCGGCGACGCTGAAGGTGTAGTCGGTGTTGGGGAGGATGCAGTAGTTGCACACTTCAGGGTTCAGGGTGTAGCTACACTTGTTTTCTGAGCACTGGAGGGGAGAGAGGGGGGGGGGGGTTAGAGGCTTTTGTGTGCTATGAAGATGATTAATTACATTTTTGAAATATGCAAGGATCTCGGATTTTTTCTCTCAGATGGTTCTGTAATTAATTAATTCCTTTATTATCTTCTAATGCGCTTTAAAATACATATTTCCACTCAAGGAAAGATGTGTAATTAACAGTTGAAATAACCAATCAAAATTATGCACACATTTCCTTGTAAAATCACCAAAACTCGTATCCGCAACGAAGACTCCCTTTTTATCTCTATCCTTCTAATCTTTCCCTTATTTTTCATCTATCTTCCATCCTTTCCCTTACCTTCATCTCAGTATCGTATGAGGCAGAACCACCGAGGAGGACGAGGATGTAGTTCGAGAATTCGCCGCTGCATGAAGGCCTTTCCCACTCGATGACCACGTTGGCGAGACGCTCCTGGACCTTCAGGTCGCGGGGCTTCAGGTGTTCGGTGCTGTCAGCTGCAGGAAGAGGAAGGTGCGTCTTGTAAGTTCAGTGTTACGTAATTTTTGTTTAAATGTGAATTATTTGTTTATAATTTAATTAACTAATTGCATTTACTTATTGATGTAGCTAGAAATTACATAAAACTATTTCTAAATAAAGTTTAAGACGAGCGAGTCGATGGAATGTCAGTACCAAATCATTCTTTCCTAAGTCACCCCCTAAATCAAGCCTCAGCTTTTCATTTTCTCTAAATGTCATTCTGCAGGTACGTTTTCTTTGAATGACGCAGCACTATAAATTCTCGGGGTGACTATACCATTTTCTGTTGACGTATATATTTTTTTCGTATGAATTCAAACATCTATCTCAACATTTACAGTAAAAAATTAAGTTTTCTAGCACATCGTGCCATGATATTAATATTTATATATAAATAAAAAAACTACAAAAAATAATCAAACGATAAACTTCTGAACGTATCATTACCACCCTGTACCACCACCCTTGCATCAAGAAAAAACACCCTCATCATCCTTACAGTCTTAAATTCCTGGAAACAAGAAATCAAGACAACCCTTCACTCACCGTCCTTCTGGCAGATCATGTACTGGAGGGAGTGGTCAGAGGGGTAAGGCTGGAGCTTGTGGCGGAAGTTGGTGTCGGGGTAGTCGTCGAGCATGGCGGCGATGGAGGGTCCGTACAGGCTGTTGGGGAGGGAGTTCCATTCGTTGCTGGAGCCGGTCTATGTGGGTGGGGGGAAAAAGGGAGAGACGATAAACATAGAGATAAAAATTATGGAGTGAAGTGGGGAGGTACGGAAGATGTGATAGAAAAGAAGGGATGATAATATAAATTGGTGAAATATGATAGGGAGCGAGTTTCATTCGTTGGTAGTGCCGTTCTTTGGGGAAAAAAGGGAGGGGAAGATGATAAATATAGAGGTGAAAATTATGGAGTGAATTGGGGAGATACAGAAACTGATAAGATGAGAGAGTAAATATGAATGAGATATAATGGAGGAGGTCCACTTGGTGGTATCGGTCTATCGGAAAAAAAGGGAGAGACGATAAATATAAAATGCTTATGGAGTGAAAAGGGGAGATACGGAGATAGAAAAGGATAATAAATGTGAATGATATATGGGTGAGACAGAGTTCCATTTGTTGGCGTATGTACAGAAAGAGAGACAGAAAGACAGAGAACATAATTATGCGAATGATGAACAAGAATTACGTATAGTATACAAGGTAATATCTGATGTTGGAAAGAGTAGTATTGACGTAATAATCAGTGAATCGTAATCTAATAATCTTACCATTTGGAACAAAACTTTATGTATCATTACTATAGAATTTAACATATAGTGTATATTTCTTAATTCATCCACAGTCTAATACCAATAATGATGTTACATTAAGACGATGCTATCCGTCATCCACAACTACCGTTCATACGCTTATATTAATTCATTACATGACAAGACAAAAAAAAAAGAAATTTCAAGAACTATACATGACATCTCTCTTTTAACCTATCTAGCTCTCAATTTACCTATCACATCATCAATGCACTCGCGGGATCCTTAGCAACTTTCCTAGCACTTTTATATTCTCATTGACTGAACACCCCGACGGCCACACATCGCCCTCGTATTCAACCCACCTTGAGCCAGTCGCAGAAATCGTTGCCTTCGCACCTGGAGCCATCAGCATACACCCAGTTTGCAGGGGATTCACAGGCGTCTCTGTAAAATAAGAGGAAAAAAGGTTCGTGTTAAGAGAATGTTGCAACTGTGGTGATAGTTATACTAAGGAGGAAGAGATGAATTGGAAGAAAATATAGAATGATGCTAACAAGAAATGGATTGTAATAATAAAATAGTGCACAAATACACACAAAGTTGAAACGAATTTAAAAAATACAGACATGAAATTCGATCTACATAATACACAGAATCATGTTTTCAGACAACTTATTGGTAAAAAATATAAAACGAAAAATTATGAGGTAATATGTTTTGGGGAGAACGTATTTCGATAACATACGTAATTGTATGGTTAGATAATATAATTGATATATTTTGATAGAGAGGTGCAGGTTATATAAAAGCAAAAATGTAAAAAATAACTATACATTTCAATATAACTAAACTGAAAATGCCTGAAACCCACCAAAACTTATATTACAGTAATTGTCTGTTTTAACAGCCTATAACAGCACCAGAAAGAATAACAATAAGAACAGAGGAATAAAGAGAATTAAATTATTAAAGTTTATCCTATTGAAAAAGGTTGAAGCCAAAGAAAACGGAACCCACACCAAAAGTCTAGGGGAACTGCGCGTCATTTTTCAATATATACGTGTATTTTTTTTTCTACTTATTTTCTTTCCATAAATATAAAGAAAATACAATCTTGTTGCACTATGACTGTAAACCAAGCTAAAATACCATGAAAATTTCAAATAATGATAATCCATAAACCCACTTAAATACCCTTTCTCTTCACTAGACATAACGCCTTACCTATGCAAAATACTATTATTCAATCGAGTGACTGGCATAAGCGAGGACAAACCAGTAGAGAATGATAATCAGCAATTGTCATCGTTGATAATTCCCTCTCTATTCCCTCCCCCCTTCCCCATACCCGGCGCGTGAGAAGACCGGTCTTGTACATAACTTGACCTGTTTTGGCCTACTCGCTTTGCCGTCCAACCTGTCCAGTGACACAAAGGGAAGTGTGGAGGAGAGAATGAGTGTGTTCAAGATGATATTTGAGCATATTTGCATAGACGTGATTTTTTTCTCTCTTTCCTTCGCAAACATGATAGAAGCCGACATGATATTTGTGAATCAAACTGCTTTTGTGTCTTTATTTATATACGATTCTTCTGTCTGTCTTTTAATCTATTTATCTACCTATTTATTTATCCCATTCACTTAATAATCATAGTCGAATAAAGTCGACACCAATCTCTAGGGAAATGTACTGGATTTAAGAATCCTTTGTGGATGATGCTGAATTATGACACAGTTTCCTAGATTTTACTTCCACTTTATTAGATTCCCCCGATTGTTCAACGTTTTAGATAGGAAAAAAAAAATTGTCTTTTCCTATTCACTTTGTAGATTGCATTCCATTACAGGACACTCGCCCCCCCCCCTTGCACAACAACATGAGTGGAAGACAAAAAAGGAAACTGAAATGACTTAACGGCTTTCTCCTCAAGATTTTATAAAGTGGAAGTCGTGATGACATTTCGGAATAACGAATGAGGCGGGGTTGAGAGAAGGGGGGGGGGAGGAGGGAAGAGGGACGGATAGAATAGAGGAATAGAGGATGATGATGAAGAATAAATGAGGAAGGAGAAAAAGATGAATGATAATTATGATAAGGAAGAGGAGGAGGAGGAGGAGGAGGAGGAGAAAGAGGAGGAGGCGGAGGAGGAAATGATAGAGAAGAAGAAAAGATGAAGAAAATGAAAAGGCGGAAAGAAGCGAAAGAAGAGAATGAGAAAACGGAAAAAATAAACGATTACACCTGTAACTTATAAACAAAAAAGAAGCAAACAAGAGGAAAGACAGAGAGGAAAATAAAGCAAACGAAGAATAAAAAGGACAAAAAGAAACTACCCCCCAAAAAACACACAAAAAAAAAACAATCACGCTTTGTCCCGATAAGAATAAAAGAGAGAGAAGAGAAGAGAGAGAAGAGAAGAGAGAGAAGAGAAGAGAGAGAGAGAAGAGAGTGCCTGCGAAGACTTGCTTCATTTCCACTCATTGTTGCTTCACCCCCTGACCTCACTCCACCTTTTAACCTCAATTTTGTCACAGAGAGTAGAGGGGATTTGTGGAGGAGGGTGGAAGGTGGAGAGTGGGTGGAAGAGAAGGTGGATGGTGGAGGGTAGAAAGTGGATGGAGAAGAATGGAGGGTGGATGGAAGAGAGTAGAAGGTGGAGAGTGGAGGGTGGAGGATAGATGATGGAGAGTGGAGGGTGGAAGGTGGATGGTGGAGAGTCGAGCGTGGAGGGTGCAGAATAGAGGAAGATGGAGAAGGGAGGTGGAGTGTGTTAGTGGAAGGAGATCTCTGGTGGAGTGGAGTGGAGTAGGAGTGTGAATGTATGGTGGAGGGATGTCTGCCGGGGGTGAGGAGGGAGGAAAGAATGGGGTAAGGCAGGAGGCGGAATGCAAATAACTTCACACACATAAACACGACTGCTCTATTTCTCCCAAAATAATCTAAAATATATCTATATCTATCTATATCTCTCTACCTATCCATATATATTAATATACAACAAGTGAAGAACAGACATATATATATATTTTTATCTCACAATAGTGAAGTATATCGGATAACACTACAGCAACGTGTTCTATAATGACAACACTAAAATACGACTCTTGTTCTACATCCGCAAAAGGAATATATATCATTTTTTTCCTCGCTATTTCCCCTCCTGTTTCACCTTTAAGCAGAAAAAAGCGGTCGTTAGCGGAAGCAGGAAGGAATGAAGAGCAGGTAGGAGAGGAAACGAGTCATCTTAATATTTAAATAGAGATATTTAAATGGTTGTCAAGGAAGAGAGAGAGGGAGCGACAGAGAGAGAGAGAGAGAGATAAAGAGATGAAAAAGTGGAAGTCAATTTACGATGCAAAAAATCGAAGGGGAAGGGGAGAATGGGAGAATGGGAGAGAGGGAAAGCGAGGGTAGTAAAACATGCGTGACAAAATGGTGTGATAGGAAGAAGAGAGAGATAAAGGAGAATGAGCATGAGAATGAGAATGAGAATGAGACGGAGGAGGAGGAGGAGGAGGAAGAAGAGGAAGAAGAAGAAGAAGAAGAAGAAGAAGAAGAAGAAGAAGGAGGAGGATGGAGGGTGTCGAAGAAGAGGAGAATGAAGAAAGTAGACGAAGAAGAAGGAAAAGAAGCGACAATCCAAGACGTGACCAAGAAGTAGGAGGAAGAGGAAGAGAAGGTAGAAGAGGATAGGGAAGCCGATAAAAAAAGTAAAAGGAGTGGGTGGAGAACGAAGAGAGCGAAATGCATAGCAGGAGAGAATTTGGGAATGCGAGAGAAAAGGAAGAAGGAAGAGCAAAAAGCAAATCAGAAGGTAGGGTACGAAGAAGGACGATGAAAAAGAGGGAGACAATGGGGAAGAGGAATTGGAAGCGGGGGAAACTAAAGAGGAAGAGGAGCGAGAAGATGAGGAAGAAGAAAAAATGAAGAAGAGATACGAGAGGAGAGAAAAGTAGGAAGATATTGGAGAGAGAAAATATGAGGGGGGAGGAGGAGGAGGAGGAGGAGGAGGAGGAGGAGGAGGAGGAGGAGGAGGAGAAGGAGGAGAAGAAGGAAGGAAGCAAAAAAGAAAGAAAAAGAAAAAGAAAAAGAAAAAGGAGAAGGAAAAGAAGAAGGAAGAAAACAAAAAAAGAAAGAAAAAAAAGAAGGAGGAGCAGAAGAAGAAGAAGAAGAAAAAAAATAAAACGAAAAAACACGAAAAAACAGGAACTCACTGGCAGAGAAGACCCAGGAAGGCACGGTTGTTCTGCGAGTCGATGGTCTGCGACAGGTGCGGCTTCAGGAGATCCTTCAGGAAGTTGTGGATCTTGCTGGACTTGTCGGCGGCCAGGACGGCGTTGTCGGCTTGGCACCTGCGGGCGAGGAAGGGCGTTAAGGGGCGCAGATAAAGGGGGGGGGGGGAAGGGGCATTAAGGGGCGAAGGTAAAAGGCATCAATGGGGCCTATAAAGTGTGGGGGGGTGGGGGGGGGAGGTACAGGAAATGGTGTAATGGAACTTATTTTATTTAGTTTTCATTTCGAATGTTTTTTGTTTCTTAATTCACAATTGTGGTTCGAATTAAATTTCCGTGGAATGAGCTGCTGAATGAACAATATATATATATATATTCAATCTGCTAGATAAAAGGAATAAATTACGTTATAATATTCTAGTGATCACTATAATTTCAAACTTCAAAAGGAATTGAGAATCATGAAATAAATGTTAAAAATATGAACAATTTCTCTCTCTATCTATTTACTACTCTCCCTCTGGGTCCTCGCCTTCCTCCTCTTCCTCCCCTCTCCTTCCCTATTATCTCCCTTCCCCCCCACCATTTCTTCCTTTTTAACACCTCCCCCTCAATTTCCTATCGCTTCTTACTTCCCTTCGTCCTCATCCCTACCTAAAGCCTCATTTTTTTTCACTTCCTCCCTTCCTTTCTACCATTCTGCCCTCTAATTCCTCCCCTCCTACTCTTTCACCTTTCCTCCCCTCCCTCCTCATCTTCCTAAATTTCCCTCTCTCCCTCCTTCCCTCTGACCCTTTCATCTAAATCCCTCGCTCCTCTCCTTCCCTCCTACCCTTCCACCCCTCCTCTCCTTCCCTCCTACCCTTCCACCCCTCCTCCCTTCCCTCCCTCCTACCTTCCTCCCTTCCCTCCCTTCCTATTCCCTTCCCTCCTACCTTTCCTCCCTTCCTATTCCCTTCCCTCCTATCTTTCCTCCCTTCCCTCCTACCTTTCCTCCCTTCCTATTCCCTTCCCTCCTACCTTTCCTCCCTTCCCTCCTCCCTTCCCTCCCTTCCTCCTCTCCCCCCGTTCTTCCTCCAAAACTTACTTCCTCTGCGCGGATGAGAAGTCGATCGGTGTGTCCGTCTGGATCACCTTGTAACACTTGTTCTCGAACTTGGAGTATCCGGGAGCGCAAGCATCTGTGGACAAGTGCAGGGGGTTAGGTTCAAGTATAAGGGGAGTTGGGTGTGTTGGTGTAAGTGTGCATCGTTTGGTACGTATTGTTCATAGTCTTATTCTTATCTCTGTTGTTGTTGTTGTTGTTGCTTTCAAGTAGAATGCATATTGCTATTCAACACGTGTTGTTATGAGACCTGTTTAAAACACAACGAAAAAAAACAAAACAATCAGAACGAACTAAACAAACAAATCGGAACGAATAAACATTAATAATGAAGGCAATGGTGATAATGATAATGCCGATAATAATAAGCATAATGGACCATCAAGAGAGTAATAACGACAATGTTATGAAAAAAAAGGAGAAACGCACTTATGAAAACGCAAGTGAAGTTGGTCGCACCGCCACTCTCCACACTCTTGCCTCTCCCGCTATCGCTGTTATCATCGGTACCGCTACCACTGGTACCGTTCTTACCGCTGCCACTGGTATCGTTCTTACCGCTACCACCCGTTTCGCCGCTACCGCTACCTCCGCCGCTGCCACCGCTATCACCGGTACCGACGCCCGAGCTCAATAATCCGACGAGGTTCAGTATCGACGCGGTGGTCGACTCAACTACGCTGGTGGAGGGGCTGACATCCTCGTCCTCCGTGCTTATCCTACTGAAGACGTTCTCATGCCACCATTTTGGGAATGGGGAGGGAGGAGGAGGAGGAGGGGGTTCCTTCGTCTTCCAGTCCTTCTTCGTGAGAAGGACGACCAGCACGACTACGAGGATGCACAGGAACACGACCAGGCACGAGGCGACGGAGGGCACGTGTTTACGAAGTTTCGGCAAAGCGCGTCGGCAACACGCTCTCCACGCCATGGCGACGCGGCCGACACTCCCTTAATAATCTTGTTTTTCCTGCTCCAGATCGGCAGAGAGGCAGGCGAAGGAGAGAGAAGGAGGGAGGGAGATAGACTCCGGCACCAACAGCATCAACCATTGACATCTTAGCGAAAGGTTACTTGTTCGCCTTCGTTGTCCAGCCACTCAGGTCTGTCTGGGTCCCTCTCCCCTGCCCGACACCCCCAAGCTTCCTGTTTTCTTTGAAGGGCTGCCCCATATAACTCGTTTTTTGTTTCCGTTTTCTTCAAGGGGATCCTCAAGTAAATCTTAATTCATACTTTTTCTGTTGCCTATCTGAGAATCTTACATTTTTTTCATCGCGGAGCTGGGCTGGATACGACACAGTGAAAGGCGCAGGAAAATTACTATGCTAATATCGCGTGTTTGCCCACCACTACCATATGCCATTATAAAAACTAACCTCATTTTTTCTATACATCCGACACCAAATGTTTTTTGTATGAATTTTGTTCCAGTTTTTCATCTTTCGTTTTTTCTATCCAACATTTTTTTTTTTTTTTCAACAGAGCGAAAGTAATGTTCATCCTAACAGTAAGTCTCTCTTTCTCGTGAAATTTCAACTGTACTGAAACAAAAATTTCAGGCTTTAAATCAAACTCCAAAACGTGTTATTGGCCCAGTTCCGGTTGAACCTCCACCGTTAAAATCTAACAATGAGGAAGAATATACAATTATATAGACCTGCACTCTCCTTCGAAGTTGGCTTACTAAATAACAGCAATTTTAGTTCAGTCTGACAGCACACACCCACACGAACTTACGACCTCGAAACCATTATTGTTAAAAAAAAAAAAAAAAAAAAAAAATCCCTGACCGCCGGAATAGGAATGGGTCGTCGGGTATCAGCTGATTTTGAGGTTTCGTTCCAAACATTCCCTTCACAATTTCATGGGAGGTTGTGTGGGCGGTTCAAGGTGAACGAGGGAACAGTTTCGTTAAACAAGTTTTGGAATTTTTCTTTGTCATACTTCACGCCAAACCGCAAGATGGGGTTTGAGGAGGATAACTTTTGTCTATGGTGGTGATATGAAGTCGCTTTCAGATCTTTCCTCTAATTAATTCTACAGCGAAGGGCCTATATTGTGGTTGTCCGGTTGCCAGAAATAACGACCAGGAAATTGCAGTTCTTTATAAACAATTGAAAGAAAAAAAAAACTCCCACAGGAATCAAAAACAAAAACAAAAAACAAAAAAATACAATTTACAGACCAACACAAAGAAAAGCGAATGAACAACAATAAATAGGTCGAAATAAAAGATGTAACCTAAATCGTGAAAACGCATGTGTCTCAATCCGTATTGTCACGCTTTATTTCTTTCTTTCTCCCTCTCCCTCTCCTCTCTCTCTCTCTCTCTCTCTCTCTCTCTCTTTCGACCTGTTTTATTTTACACTCCCAAGGACTCTCTATTTTAGCCGCGACTCCCATATCGCTCTGGTTTTGACTCTAACCTCAAAACCCAAGACATTCCACTTTAATTAAGGTTTTGGAGTAAGACTTCGAGAACATTAACTGGGGTCGAAGCCATGCTTTCACCGGTTCGTGCAAGGGTCGAGCCAAGCAACATTTCTCGAAAGGTTAGCGGTTCGAAAGAGTAAGATATGAGAATGGAACTAGGGAATAATTAGGATGATGAAACTAGAATGCGTGACGAAAGAGAGATGGAGAAAGAGATAGATAGATAGATAGATAGATAGAGAGTGGGGGATAGAGAAAGAGAGAGTGGGGGAAAGAGAAAGAGTGAGGGATAGATAGATAGATAGATAGACAGAGAGAGAGAGAGTGAACCCACAAACAGACGCAGAACCAAAGAACCAAAGAACCTAAAAAAAAAAAAAAAAAAAAAAAAAAATCCAAGACCCATGAACGATAGACATATTCACAAAGGAAGCAGACAGTAGACAGTCGACCGGAACTCGAACCGTGGGCGGAAACGGGTCAAGGTGGACGAGAGGAACGCCGGAACGGACCGCCAACCCGATGCTGATATATAAATGCATTTTTTTTCTCTTTTTTTGTAGGTCGAGTAAAACAAGTAAAACAATCGATAGAGGGAATACGCAGGGATGAATATTTCTAGAAGTGCGGTAACATCTTAAGACAATATCCAAACACATTACTTATATGATAAAAAGAAGGGGAAAAAAAGAGATAGAAAAAAAAAACGAGAGGTGAGCAAACATAGGAAAGATTTTGGGGAGAAGGGGAAGGAGAAGAAAGAGAAGGGGAAGCAAGAGAAGGCGAAGTAGAAGGAGGAGGAGGAGGCAGATAACCGGTAAATAGCCGGACAAGGCAACAATCAGGATGTGGCTGGCCGTGATGTCTTGTGGCAAAGACAGGCAGCGTTCAGTGCCATCTGTCACCCACACACCCCTTTCCTATGGCTAGCCACCGTTTTAGCGAATCTGTGCAGACTCATTACGTAAACCCCTCCTTGGGAAATTTATTGAGAGGCCTAATTTCTCCTCGCTACGTGATATTTGATAAAAGGCCGCAAGAATGGTGAGGGGCTAGGGAGGGAGAGGGAGGGGAGGCGAGGGGAGAGAGAGGGAGGGAGGGAGGGAGGGGAGAGGGAGGGGGGGAAAGGGGAGGGTGATATGAGTCCACCCTTCCAAATAAGGAACAAGGGCGTGCAAAGAACCCCCCGAGTCGAGACCTTTCACGCCCACCGCCCGTAAGTCAGTCAATAGGTGCTCCTTCGATGCATAATGAGAGAGCGGCGGTGACAAATGCACCCATTCGGACGCACTGTCTCACTCTCTTAAATCACTCAAATATGCTATGAAGCTTCAAACACCGTCAATAGCCAATAGCGATGTTTTATTTGTGTGTATCATCTTCGTTGCAGCGCAGGGACAACTTTCACGTCTATATTTTCTTGTTAAAGGTCAATTAAGGATCCATATTGGGCTAACACCCACTAGAGATTTGAGGCTGATATATATATATATATATATATATATATATATATATATATATATATATATATATATATATGTATACATATATATAATGATATATATATATATATATATATATATATATATATATATATATATATATATCATTATATATATGTATACATATATATAACGTATATATATTTATATATCTCTCTTGATATATATATTTCTTCGGATATCTTAAAATATAAAATATATAAAATAAACGAGAGGAGTGTTCTACTGTTCTTTCTCTTGAATGGAAATTGAGTAACGAAAATAATAGCAATAACAACTGTGCGGTTTAGTTCCACAAGATAATACCGTAAATTTCCTAGCAATACAGATCATTAAGCTATATATTTCCGTTGAGAATAGAACTGACAAACTAACCTCAGAACAATAACTTTGACTTCAAGGAACGATACTTTTCGCTAACGCACTGCAAGCAACAGCGGTACGATAATTTCCGAAAAAAAAACTAAAAGCAACTACGATAAAAAAAAGAAAAGAAAAGAAAGCTAACAAGGGGAAGAACCAATTACGTAATCACGAAGAAGAAGAAGAAAAAAATACACAGGAAGTTTTTATAAAAGAAATTTATATAAAATCAGTGACACGAGCTCCGGTTCACGAAAAGAAGACAGTCGAATGCTTCTTCAACGGAAACTTTCTCACGAAGGAATCCTTGCTATGCGTTTCTTTAGACCCGTTTTTTCGAAGGAGAGACAAAGATGATAAATTGAAGGAGAAAAAGAAAAAAGAAAATTAGGATAGGGATAAAGATGATGATGATGATGATGAAGAGGAGGAGGAAGCACAAGAGAGGGGAACAGAGTCAGAGAATAAGAAAGAGTAGAGGGAGAGTGAAAAGGGAAATGAACCAAACGAAGACAAGCTAATAAATTGAGAGAGAGAGAGAGAGAGAGAGAGAGAGAGAGAGAGAGAGAGAGAGAGAGAGAGAGAGAAGGCCAAAGCAAAGAAAAGAACACAAACAAACAAGAGAGAGAGAGAGAGAGAGAGAGAGAGAGAGAGAGAGAGAGAGAGAGAGAGAGAACACAAAACCCAATCTTCACCCAAAACTCCAAAATTTCAAGGAACAGGAAGTCACCCTGTCTCTCTCTTCTCTCCTTCCCATACACCCCCCTCCCCACCCCACCCACCAGAGTTACGCAAAAGAGCGGATTTTCCCACGTCATTCGGTAATTAAAAGCGCGCTGACGCAACTCCTGTTTCTCTTTAATGGCGGCGGCAGGTGGGCAAAGCACGTGACTGTTTTTTTTCTTTCTTTCTTTCTATCTTTTTCTTTCCTGGTTTCCTCTCTTTTTCTTTCTCTTATTCTCTTTTGTATCTCTTTCCGCACGAATGACATGATAAAGAAAGAGGAGAAAAAAAAAGGTTAAATATTCTATTTGATGGGATATATGGGAGAGGGAGAGCGAGAGGGGAAGAGAGAGAGAGAGAGAGAGAGAGAGAGAGAGAGAGAGAGAGAGAGAGAGAGAGAGATGAAGGTAGGGAGAGAGAGAGAGAGAGAGAGAGAGAGAGAGAGAGAGATGAAGGTAGAGAGAGAGAGAGAGAGAGAGAGAGAGAGAGAGAGAGAGAGAGAGAGATGAAGGTAGAGAGAGAGAGAGAGAGAGAGAGAGAGAGAGAGAGAGAGAGAGAGAGAGAGAGAGAGAGAGAGATGAAGGTAGAGAGAGAGAGAGAGAGAGAGAGAGAGAGAGAGAGAGAGAGAGAGAGAGAGAGAGAGAGAGAGAGAGAGAGAGAGAACGAGGACCTAACCTTAACCCTTTCTCTCTTTCTTTCTCCTTTCATACCATTCTCTCACTATTTCCCATTGTCTTTCTCCCCTCCCCCTCTCCACCCCCCCACCCACCCTCGTCTACCTATTTATATCTTTCTTACTTTCTTTTTCCTACTTGTTTCATCTTTTTTGTTATTTCGTTTCTCACAAATTTTAGTGCCAGCGACGTCTACAAACTCCCATAATAAACTCATATTTTTCCATCGTTAGAACATGTACTAAAACTCCATTATTTTAACCTTGAAGCATACAACAGCCAATATAATCAAATTATATGTGAGTAGCTTTGTCTAGTTTCCTACTTTTTTTAAGCTTTTCATTTTTGTTTTATTCCTCATTTTCTCTTATTTTTTTCATACTTCGCCTAAAGAAACGAAAGAAACTCGTGTGTTTTTTGAAAAATTATTCGGTCAAGTATATCACAAACTTTACAGAACAATCATATCTCCCGGCGGTTCAGTATTACAAATTTCATAAAAAAGAAAGACTTACAAGTAATCTTAAGTTATCAAAGTAACGGTCTAGCATTACGAAATTTATAAAACAAGTCTATAAAGAATCTTTTGTTACGAAGTCGACGGTTTTGCGACACCGATTTCAAATCTCCCGCCAAAAAATTGCAGTTTACCGAATAACGTACAACGAAAACCAAAATTATGGATTAAGAAATTGTAGAATAATATTATAAAATTAGATAATTCTGGACATGTTTAGTACGTGAAATTGGCTACTAAACGCAGGTTCGAAGAAAATGGAGATAAAAAAACAAAACAAAACGAAAAAGAATGAAAGCGAAAACATGGAAAATAATCCGAAAAAAGAATAAAAAAAAAAAAAAAAAAAAAAAAACATTAACCCTTTTATTCCAACCACACACCAACAATGAACATCAAGCAGAGAAAACAATAATAACAAGAGTAACAAAAGCTTTCAAACTTTCCCGCGTCGGTGAACAATGGATAGAGTCACACGCACTTCACGTTTCATTTGTTATGAATCGCATCGCGTGGGAAGGGAAGAGAAAGAGAGATAGAGAGATAGAGAGGAAGAGGAAGAGAGGAAGGGGGTAGTATATGGGTAGAGACTGGAGGGAATAGAACGATTGAGCAAGAAGTGAAGGGGAGGAAAAAGAGAGGAAAGGTGGGAGGGAAGAATGCGTGAAGGACGGAGCAAGTGGGGAGAGAGAGAGAGAGAGAGAGAGAGAGAGAGAGAGAGAGAGAGAGAGAGAGAGAGAGAGAGAGAGAGAGAGAGAGAAATAGGGACAGGAAGGAAAGTTGAGCAAAAGGAAGGAAACAAACTCTAGCGGTTGACCCACGCGGACGCAAGGGTCACAGAGGTCTCGCAAGGTTGGCGGGAAGAGGAACGCAAAAGAAAGAAAGAAAGAAAGAAAGAGAGAGAGAGAGAGAATGAGAGTTAGAGAGAGAGAGAGAATGAGAGAGAGAGAGAGAGAGAGAATGAGAGAGAGAGAGAGAGAGAGAGAGAGAGAGAGAGAGAGAGAGAGAGAATGAGAGAGAGAGAGAGAAAGAGAGAGAGAGAGAGAGAGAGAGAATGAGAGAGAGAGAGAGAGAGAGAGAGAGAGAGAGAGAGAGAGAGAGAGAGAGAGAGAGAGAAATGCGATGATACAAAGAAAGAAAACAAATAATTGAAGGGGAAGATAAACTTTAAGATTTCCAAATATCCCCGCCCCTAACCCCCCCCCCAAAAAAAAAAAAAAAAAAAAAAAAAAACTTTTTAAGATGGAAAGTTCGGGAAAGTTTTGTTTCACGAATATTTCCTTGCTCCTCGTTCCTCTCCCCCTCCCCCCCTTCCCCCTTTTCCACCAAAACCCATGATCGCGTGAGTCTAGAAGTTTCACAGAAGACCTTTGCCTATTTTTCTTGGCTATTTCTGTTTCGTTTTTCGTGTTTCGTGTCTCTATATTTGATACTAAGGGGATGAAACTGGGATAGAGAAAGAGAAAAGAAACGAATGAAAAAAAAGAGAAAAACTAAAGAAAAAAGAGAAAAGAATGAAAGACAGAAAAGAAAAAGAAAAAAATGGCGTGCCAGGCAAAGACAGAGATGCAGGAGACTGACTTTTGAAAGTTTCGTATCTAATGGATTTCTTTCCACACCTAATCAATCATTCGATTTGCCACCAAATTTCGCGCGAAATCGAAAAAAAATGAGAGAGAAAAAAAGCATGAAGGTGGAGACAGCGTGTTGAATCCGCATGTGAAAACGGGTTTACACGAACGGCAGGAGGAGGCGGGGAATGTATGGCGAAAGAGAGAGAAAGGGAAGAGGGAGGGAAAGAGGGAGGGGGGAGAGAGGGGGGAGAGAGGGGGAGGGGAGAGAGAGAGAGAGAGAGAGAGAGAGAGAGAGAGAGAGAGAGAGAGAGAGAGAGAGGCGAGAGAGGGGAGAGAGGAGAGAGAGAAGAGAGAGAGAGAGAGAGAGAGAGAGAGAGAGAGAGAGAGAGAGAGAGAGAGAGAGAGAGAGAGAGAGAGAGAGAGAGAAAGAGTGAGTGAGTGTAAATGTGGAAAATCGAAAGAAAGTTAAAATCCAGCGGAGCTAGAACTCACGCACTCTAACGGAAGCAAGAAAATTCAAGTGTAAAAAAACATTCTTTCCCTTCACGGGGTCAGGCAAGATAAACTCAGCAAAATTATACTCCATCTTTAACCATTCTTCGAGAATGATAAAACGTAAAAGCTTCCCACTCATATCCTTCAAATTGATTTAAATTTCGATTATATACTTTAGCAGATGCGTCGACGGGAGCTTTCAGACGCCTCTCAATGGCGCCGACTGGGCTTTCTCGTAACCATTCGCATATCGCTTTGCATCTGGTCAGGCGAGGCTACTTTCTGCTCGCTGATTCTACCTCGCGATTTCTAAAAGCTTCACCCGATGAATTATGTTGGTTTTCCTCTTTCATTTTTGTCATAAACACATGTGTGAGACGTTATTTTTGGGCGGGGAGTGGGGTGGCGCAAAAAAAAAGTCAAGTCGTTTGTATTTTGGCGGGAATTATTCGTTTTTTTCTTTCTCCTTGCGGATTTTACTTATATTTTATTAGTAAAATTACTTTTAAAGCAAGAGTAATCTCGTCTCGGAGTATATCATAAGTTTTCTTTCATTGTTAATGGACACTTTAATTATCAACGCACCGCCCGTTTCGCATCACAAATCGTCCGGATCCAAAGCTGAGATAGCGTGACGAAGTCTTTGGTTTCAGGTGGCTAAGCATACTAAATCAAACTACGCTGCTAACATTCGAATTGTGAAGTGATTTAATAAAAGGCGAATGCAGTGCAATGAATCAAAAGGTAGATAAATAAACGAATAAATAAAGAGTAAAAACTACATATAAAAAAAACTATTCTAAATGATAATGATAATAACCAATTTAATGATAACAAATGCTAAGGCTAACAACAACAACAACAACAACCAACAAACACCAATAACTACACCAACGGCATCACCACCAACAACCGCCCACAACACTCACTCTCATTGCAGGCGTAGCTGACTTCCTTCTTGGGCTTGGGCGTGGTGGCGGGGGTGGCAGCCTGGAGCGAACCGCGGGTCTGGGTAGGCTTGTCGTCCGAGAAAGCGTTCCGGTTGCTTGGACGATTATTGTTTCCTCGATTACCGCCGATCTTACGACC